TATATGTAATGCCCGCCGATTTTTACTATGATGCTTATATGATGCTTATACCCTTTAACGGTGAATCACCTCTTAATATATATTCCCAAAATCTTGGATTTTAAATTGTATTAAATAAATAAAATATTTTTTTTAATTAATTATACGTATTAATGTGGTGTATCAGAAGTAATAATATTACCAATATAAATTTGAAATTCGGCATCAATGAATGTCAATTGTAATTATTCTAGCATGGACGTGGAATAAGCGCCGCTGCTAGTAATAAATAAATACAATTGGCAAAGTATGTATCTTTAAAAAATATATATTCCTGGCACAGTGCAAAGCTTAATTGGCATATATTTATTTTATTTTATTTGATAACTTCTGTTGATTTAATAAATAATTTGGCTGACTGTGGTATCGGGTTGGGACGCTTTGATTTCGTGATTTTTAGTGGGTGTTTTTAAATTATAAGTTTTCAAGGATACAAATTAAACAGCTACGACAATGAAAAATAACATCCTTACAATCAGTAGAGAGATTTGAAATTAATCATAAATAATAAAATCTGAGAAGTTGAACATTTATTGATTTATAAGATACTGATTTTATGGATGAATATGTATTCAAAATATACATTAAGTTTATAACAGTTTTTTTTTTTTTAAAAAAAAAAAAAAAAAAAACATAAATACTGCTCAAATTGTCTATGTCAACTCTAGTTCGTTGTAACTTTCAATCTTTTATCAAGATGATTTTTCAGAAACTTTTGGTTGTTTTTTCCGCGAAGCAGTTGGAATAGTACCCTTGCGTTTACCACCTGAAAGTTGGGGGGTGTTCATAGTGGATCTTGAGGATGTCGTTTGAGAAGAGCGTGCACGTGATGAACGATTTTTGCGGTTACTCGGTTGCTCAACTTCCTGTTCTTCTTCCGATGAGCTAACAATAATTTTTCTTTTAACACGTTTTGGCAAAACTGGTGGTGGTGTTCTACTCGTCTCTTCCTCATTTTCTTCTCCATCGGATGTAGAAGTTGTTGTTGGCTCATTCGCAGTGCTACGAGAATGCACGGTCGTAGAACGCAACTGGCGATCCTGAGGCTTCATTGGTTTTGATATTGGCAATGTAACAGGCTTGGAATTGCCATTATTCTCATCTAAATTAAGACATTTATGTCTAAATATATAATTATTATTGATATAAACGTATTAGATTCATCATAAATAAGTATACCATCATTTTCTTCAAGCTCCATGTGTTTTTCATCCGAAAGCACTTCAACCAAGTTAGAAAATTTTATTTGTATACCGATTGAGGCTGCTATACTTTCAACTTTTGGCTGCAACGACGATAATCCTAAAAGTTTCGAATTATTTAAATCTTGTGATAAATATAATTTCATTTTATATTAATTTGTACAAACCACGTTTTAATGTAGGATGAGCTTTTTTCCATAGATCATCCATTAATTCTACTGCGGCTTTAATTGAATCAACGGCTTTATCTTTATTTACTTCAATGCTAAGATTGTCAAAATATTGCCCTAAACTAGATTTTAACTCTGATATATGTTGTGTATTTTTTTGCCATGTATGGAATATCGAATTTATGTAATTAATGATTTCAAAACGTGCATCATCGGTTGTTGTAGAAATCATGATTTCGAATAGAGCTTCAATAATAGATGATAATAGAGAAAGTACGGTGAACGCTCAGCCTGGATTGTATGAAGTTTGTGAAAACCTCCTTCGTCAGATTCGTGGTAAAAATCAATTCAGCTATATATTCTCACGAATCATTATATGCACATATTAAACTGTTTTACTTATTTTGTAATAATTAGGAGGTGACAATTCTGAGCCAAACATTCGGCTATGCGAGAAGATGCTAGAATTGCTAAAAAGAGAATCGTATATACATATTTTCTATCTTGATTATTGCAATTATATGACGTTCATTTATTTATAAATAATGACAAAAGTTCTTTTTTGTTACTATAGAGTGTGGCTTTTTCAAAATGAACGATTGATAAATGTGACCTTCTATACATTCACGAGTTTGGCAAGAGAACACGACAGATTTGATCAGCTACGAACTCGGGAAGCACAATTTTGCAAAATGATTTTTGATAGCCACGTATGTAAAGAAATTGTCACGTTTCAATCGACGTTGTTAATTTATTAACTCAGTGGTTTTAATCAGTATAACGTATGTTTTAAAATCGGCCGTGATCTGTATCGATTGTTATTAGAAGTTTCAAATATACCCGATTTTGCGGCCATTTATAATAATTTAGATCCTAATGGTATGATTTCATTTTTATATTATGCTGAAATAAATACTCGAACCTTAATTTCTGGTTATATCATTAATAGCAAAATGGCTTATGATACGAAAACCGACGGTGGACTATTGTTTGAGTAGTCGCCTTACAAGCGACGAGAAGGCGAGAATAATCGCATACTTGGAAAATGTAAGAATCAATCCGTATTATTTAACATTGCATCTCTTATGGCTTAAATAGATATTTCACTTATTTGCGAACCTTTCAACATAGCATACACCAAAGGCTTTTCAGCGAAAATTTGAACCATTTTTTAGAGATTTTTCAGTTTCCGGATATACGCTTTCAGACATAATAAGATGGATATGTGGTGCATTTCGCCCAACAAAGCCAAATTCGGAATCCCAAAGACATCAATTGATCCACGCAATGATTAACTATGCAGTACGTAAATCATTTTGTATTTCAAAAGTTTGATGATTAATTAAGATTGGTGATTAACTATTTCTATGTGCAGTGTGACAAAGAACCTTCAAGCGAAATGAAACAGACAATTGTAGGATTGTCAAAAATGGCTCTTATATTGGATTGGTTATCTTTTGACAGAAACAATATAAATCAAAGTATAAACGATAATATAAATAATATCGGTAAATGCTATGTGTATTTGTTAAATCTAATTGTTTGTAATTTTATTTTATTAATTTGTTTCTACATTTTATTTAGAACCAACAATCCGCTTGATATTAGAATCGTATCGTTCTGACTATCAACTTGGACCAGAATTAATTGAATGTTTAGGATCTTCAATTAACAATTTTCTTCCGGGTTTTGATCTTGAAATTCGTGAAAACGTTAGAGTTGCTGCTCAAACCGTTTTACGAAGGAATATAATGACGTAAGAAAACTTAGTTAATTAATTAATAACTTTTTAAAAGCTTACATGTTATCTAATTTACAGGATAGATGACCTTAACATGATTCGGAATAAAACCAATGATGGTCGTGTTGCTAATAGGATAATATTAGAAATATGGGGTAACAATAAGCAGACTGATCTTGAACCAATAAACATTCAACCAACGATTACGCGTCCGAATACTCTAAATAATCCACAATTCGGAATACATCAATTACACAATCAAGCAAGTTCTTCACCTTCAACTTCTTATTCTTCGAAACTTCAAACTGATTCTCCCCAATCTCATGCATCAGCTGCACAAATTCAGCCGTTGACCACACGAGTTCAACTTTCTCCTTCATCTTCAAATTCTCCTCAAAAGCTCGTACAACCAGTAATCAGTCAATCAACACCATCTCCGACATTGTCGCAGCAAAGCTTTCAACAACAAAGCCCTTCTTTGCCTTCACGACAGCAATTAACACCTTTAAATCAAAATAATGGTGCTTTATATAGCCGACCATTGAACCAATCAGGTAGCACTTCAAATAATGACCAGCTAAATTCTAGACGCGCATCTGTAAAATACGATTCCCTACCAATGCAAAGTAATCCATTAGTTCAGCCAACGCAACAAGACTTGCCTGTTACAGTATCGAGACAACAACAAATACCTCTGACGTCGGCATTAAAATCATCCGATCAACGAAATACTCTCGATAATTCTAAAAAGATACGGATGTGGTCATATTTAACTTCGTTGCAAAGCTTTGAGAAAGCTATTCAAAATAATAGCATTGATGAAGCTCTTGAAAACCTAAAAAATATTTTCGAAACATTCTTGAAGGTAATACTAGAAATGCTATATAAACCATTCAAATTATCGTCGAATACTTATTTTTACCAATATTTACCTAGAATGTAGATCTTGGATTTCCTAATTCACCTCATGTTAAGGAATTGCCCGAAAAGTTAGCAAAACCTTTATGTAATTCAATTAACTTTGACGAACTAAAAGGCTGTTATGATCTGACTAGTCGATTACTTAAAATTGAACCCTCTGGAAAAAATCTTTTCAATCTATTGCTTTCATGGATATTTCAGTGGAGAGCCGAATCAAATGATAATAATTCTAATAAATATAAGGCATTTGAATTGCTAAGGCTGATAGTTAATTGCGCTGAACAGTCAGATGGAAGCAAAGAAATTCATGTCAAAGCACGATCTAAACTAATGGTGTATTGTCTAGGGTAATTATTTTTATTTATATGATTTAAGGGTTATTATATTTTAATTTAGTTTTTTTATAGATCACAGTCGAGTGTGTTGCTCGATACAATGGGTAGCATTAACACTAACTTGCCAGAAGCTATCGAGTTGTATACCACTTACCTAAAATTTGAAATAACACGTGAAAAGTCATTGTCCGAGATTGAAGAAGAATTTAAACAAGAATTTCAACATAGATGGTTTGAAGATCTGACTGTATGCTTTTTCATACGTAATCTTCATTTACATATTCTATAATATATCTTAGACTATTTTTTTTATTTCTTATTATAATTATATAGTTTATTCAGGAAAACGAAAATAATGTATTTTTATCCATGGTCCCACAATTGCTTAAGTGCTGGCCAGATATTTTCGTTGGAGTTCCACGGTTCATTTACATGATTGTGAGCGGAGTAAATCCTGCAATAGTATGTAAAAATAATTTATATGAGTGCCGCCAAGGGAAAACCTGCAATCGGGCTTTCAATGTTCAGTTTGTTTTCTGTGTGCCATCTAGGAA